AAGTTAACCTGCGCCAGGGAGATAGCTATACCCAAAAGGTTGTGTTTGAGGGCCTTCCACACTACTGCTATCATTACAAGAAGTTTGGGCACAACCCTTTGGATTGTAGAGTCATACGTGCTATTCGAACAAAGAGAGCCACCCATGGTTCTCATGACAAATCCGAGCTGAAGCCCAAGTCGAAAGAGAGCCTGGTCAAAAAGGAGGCTAAGACCGAGGCCAATGCTAATATAAAGGGACGGGCAGATGGCAGGAGGTCTTCTAGAAGGGCTAGCCGCAGGATTAGACATAAATGTCACCAGGAGGGCAACACTGATGTCGTGTTGACCCAGGATGCCCAGCCTTCACAGGAGCAGCAGCGTGCTGAGGATAATGGTGGTCTAGACATTGTGGGGAATGATGACACTTCATCAGAGGGTACTAAACTACTAATAGTGCAACCAGTAACAATTGACCTCAAGTCGAATCTGAGCCACTACAAACAGGGAAAAAGTAAGCTTCACATTCCCAAGTTTGGGCAGATAGTGTCTTGAACAAGAGGATGGGACTCACTATTGCCCAGTAATATGCTAAATCCATGAGGAAAGCATCCAGAAACAAGTGAAAGACTGATGAGAGGAGAGCTTCTTAGCTTTACTTTAAGCTTTCTTGTGCTTCTTTTATGTATTTGGTTTGTTGTTGGGCGTGACTTGCCTTTGATTAATAGGGGTATGCCCCGATACTTTGTATTCGTAAATTATACTAACTTTGGGCTAGTAATGCATATCATTATTTACATTTCACCCAAAAAATAAAGAACAAATACAAGTACCTTGCAGGTATACGCACACAAAATTATAATATTCTATAAAGCCAACAAATACGCAGTATTTCTAAAGCTGAACTGTAGCACGTGTATTGTATCCTAACTGTCAATTTACATGCTCTTTAGAAAAACATGATTCTTTGATTTCTTTCAAATGAACTTACTATAACTAAAGAACTGTTTTGAGTATACATTACCCACCCAAGAAAGATGAAAAGAAAGAAGCCTATTAAAGTTACCAAGCAACCAAAATACAGAAATCGTATGATGTTGTTAAGTTGTTATTGCCTAAACTTCAATTTCCTTTCCCTGATAAATCAAGAAGCGAATCGGCTATAAAATCAAAGGGAAATTAACCTAATCACAAATTTATATTACAAAACACCAGAAATCCCAAATCATATTTGATAATTGTCTAAAATAATTAAAAAAAAATACGGAGTATTTAGCTTGATAAAAAAAATACAAGGAAAGAAAAAAATTGAGATGGGGGAATGGAAGATTACCTTCCAGCAAGCAGCCCAAGGCGTGGAGCAATGGACCAGGCGACCAGCGTTATTCGGAATTTGGTATTGCCATTGGACGACGGGTGGCTGGTGGCAGAATGCACCAGCGGGCTGTGTCGTACGTCCTGAGTCCTGAGAGTCCTGGTCCTGTGCAGGAAGGGTGCGGTTAGCGTCTCTACATAGTTTTTTTGTACGGATTCTTATTCCAGAAAACAATCCTCCTATTCGTTAAACCATGTGCTATAGATGGCTTGAGGGGACTTGGTGATATGTAAAAGAGTATGATGTAGAGGGATAAAAATTTGTGTGTTGGTGGGTGTGAAGGAAAGTGATAAAATGTGAATATGTGTTAAACTTTGATTGGTTGAAATATTTAAAAAAATAATGGAAGGGAGAATAGCCCATCACGAAGTGATCGCTATCAATGAGTTGGGGCAAAGCCCCTTCACCTTAAGCGTGTAATGGATAGGGGGGCGTAAGTGAGGGTGGTCAAGTCCCTCCTCACACCCCATAACACATAGCCTTAGATTAGCTTTTGGGCGAGGTGCGTGTTAGTTCAAAATTTTAATTCATATTTTACCATTATTATTAAGATGGTTCGATTTTACCACTAAAACTAATTGGTATCATATATAATTTCGAAATGATAAGGTACAATAGCATAACAATGTGAATCCATAGTATTTTATTATATCAAATAAGAGATAAATATATCACAAAAATTATGTCGTAACAATGTGCGGAATAAAGAGAGCCAGGGTAGAGCTACGTATAAACTACTCCAAGAACTTAAAGAAGTCAAGGGCAGACTTAAGAAGAGGAACAAGGATTAGTTCAGTAATATCCATCAGAAATGTGATATCCTTGGGAATGAACTATTCTGTATAAAGGATACAATTAAGAAGGACCATGCTAGTGAAGCCCTTATTGCTAAAGAAAGGGAGATGTTTAATGAACTGAACTAGAACTTAAGAGCATGGTATTTAATGAAATGCCAGCAAGAGTGGATTATAGAAGGAGATCAGAACTCCAGGTTGTTTTACGCACATAGTTGTCATGGCGCATGGCGACATTCATGGCGATGGGCCAATATCACATGGCGATGGCGCAAATATGGCGTCGCCACAGGACACTAGTCACAACACAATTAACTAAGATTTACATAGGTATAAGACATGAATTCAATAAAAACAGTAGAGTACTTGATCTAAATAGTCATGTTGGAAATAAAAACACAAATAAGGAGTTATTCCAAATCCAAAACGATCCAAGGTGCTAGTAGTAAAACAACTTAAGCAAAATTCAAAAGTAATTCAAACTTAAAAACTAGTATCAAAATTTAAGATATGAATATATAATGATAATATCTCATCTTCGTCAACTTCTTGAACCAATTGGATTACTAGTTGATGCTCGATCCCGCCTCTTTCAAAACCAAGTCTCGAAGACTTGTCTTCAACCCTTCTGGAAGAGTAGGACATTCTATTGTAATACGATGCCCTCCGATCAGATGTTGTTTGAATCTTCTAATCCTACCATTACTTATACGACCACAAAAATTGCATACCAAATCATTACTCGAGTTTGGTTTGAGCTTCGTGCAGTGTTCTCAAGCCAGAGAGACAGACATTCTTCAAGAAGTACTATGCTAGAAAAAAAATTAAGGCAAAAAAAAATGGCAGAAAAAATTTGTCTGAAGAAAATTATGACAGAAAAAAAAAGTTATGGCAAAAAAATTATACCAAAATAAAATTTATGGCAGAAAAATCAAGAAAAAATATATTAAAGTGAATCACCATTGAAAAAATTGGCAGTATAACCAATCAAGTATAATAAGCAATACGGAGTACTTCGTATGAGTTAAAAAAGAAAAAGGAAAAATATTGATGCGTTAAAACAAAGGAAGTACTCTGTAAAAGTGAATTACCGATGTCGCACTCCCCTCTCTCGTTAATCGCAGATTCGCAGTCCCCTCTTTCTTTAATCGGCTATGGCGAGTTGCAGATACGATGAAGAAGACGATTCAGACCGGTGGCGGTTCCCTTTGCCTGTCCATTGGGAAGATTGAGCTACTTGAGACTACTAACTAATTAAAGTCAAAAAGACTAAATTATGTTTGGATTTACATTACCAAACATGGTCTTGTATATTCTCAAAAAAGTTTTGTAATGTCCACATGTACAGTGCCACATAACCACAATGCAAAGTCTTATTTCGAGAAAAAAACATGAAAGTTCTATTTTAGTACTTTTCTCTATATTTTAGTCTTATTTATGGTGATTTCTATAAATAATATGACTTTTTTTAATGAATGTGCCTCGTCAGTCGTCAATTATGGAACATTAATATGAGACAGAAGAAGTGTGATTCGGGCAGCGTTTCGTTCAACTTATTTTTATCTTACTACTTATACTTATTAAAATAATATCGGTCCAAATCAGATCAGACCAGATCTAACCAAAATTGATATTATTAATTTTATTATTACTATTACTATTACTATTATTACCATTATTATTGGTATTATTACTATTACTATCAATATTATAATTATAATTACTATTGTTATTATTATTATTATTATTATTATTTTACTACTATTATTAATACTCTTATTAATATTATCATATTTATTATTACTATTGTATCTATTACTATTATTACTATTACTATGATTATTATTACTATTACTATTATTATTATTATTATTATTATTATTACTATTACTATTCCCATTATTATTATGACTAAAGTATTATTACTATTTTTATTATGACTATAATTATTATTACTATTGTTATTATAATTATTACTATTATTATTATTACAACTAATATTATTATTACTATTATTAGGATAACTATTATTATTATTGTTACTAATATTACCATTACTTTTACTATTATTATTAATATTTCTATTATTATTATTATTATTTCTACTATTATTGTTATTACTATTATTAGTATTATTATTATAGTTATTATTATTATTACTATTATTATTACTATTATTATTATTATTGTTTTTATGATCAATATTTCTCTTATTATTATTATTATTTCTATTATTATTATTACAATTTATATTATTAGTATTATTATTATAGTTATGATTATTATTACTACTATTATTATTACTACTATTATTATTAATATTTCTATTATTATTATAACTATTATTATAATTACTAGATTTTTCACCCGTGCGTTGCACGGTAAGAAAAATTATTTCTTAAAAAATAAGATATTATTAATTTTATATAAATGAGAATTAATTGTAAAATAGAAAACAATATGGGTATTTTTTGTTAGGAGAAAAAAGTACAATAACAACAACATTATCCCGGTGCCAAAAAAATGCAATGACTATTAGAAAAAATATAATGTTTTTGGTAGTACATTCTACACAAACTAATGTAAATTTTTTCCAATTGATAGCACTAAACAAATAAAATTACAAAATTAAAAACTTGTAAAAAAAACTTTCTATTCTATTGTAACCACCATTCAAAATTGAGGTTATCGATGAATATAAAAATGGAGAACTTGATAGAATATTCGCATGAAAAGAAGCTTCTCTTTGAGGTATAAAAGAATAGAAAGAAAAAATGTTCCTAAGATAAATAATACATCACCAACAATTAATGTTAAGTTGTCACATTTAGAATAAAGAGGCATAAATTTTTTCCTGAATGCATGTATTCATTCCGAAATGTTGCATCCACGGCTATTATGATTAATTTCTCCAATCAAGATGCTTGCACAAGTCGAATGCAACAATAGAAATCAATAAATGAAAATAGTTGAATGAGATTGTAAAACACTAAGCACTTCGAAATATTATAACAAATAATTCTCTGTGCTCATTAATTACTCTTCATATGCTCATAAACAAATCCCAAATCCTACACATTGAATTCTACTCCATTGGACATAATGTTCTGCAAACGACATATAATAGATGATAAACAAATTAGATATATGTCTTTTAATAAATAATGCTAATTGATCTTTTATTTTTGGATAGAGAGCAAGACCCAATGTAGTTTCAACATTATGTTCCTCGACAAATAGATCAAGTACACAAATGTGGCAACTGACAGCCTAAGAAATAGGCCACATTTTTTAAGGAAATCCATGAGATGTTCTTTTATAAACATGAAAGACCAAATGCAGAGTGCAAGCATTTCTCTGCAACATTCTTCTTACACTATGATTGGCTCGTGGAGTTTGGAAAGAAATAGAAGCAAAATTGTTTTCTCTCATTTTCCCCACTAAAATGGGAGGAATTTGGGTTTTCTTCCCCTTATAACATTTGGTCTCCTCATTTTCCTTTCCTTATAATTTTCTTTTCCTTTCCAACCAATCATGAAAAATAGTTTTTCCTCTCATTTTCTACTTTTTTTCCTTTCAAATTCAATACACCAAACATAGTGTTAGTATATTCCAACTCTGTTAGAGTCTCAAATCAAAAGGAACCCAATCTTACCCCAGCTCTCTTGGTATTGCAAAAACAGTTGAAGAAAATTAAGAGTACAATTACCATAAGTTACTACCGTAGTTAGATCATGAGAAAATGCCTACCATATCCTTATTGTTCCATCCTATGATGCTGATGCATAAGATTTTCTCCTTGGAGAGAAAACACATAGTGCATAGGACAATGGTGACCCGTGTTGCATCCTATCATTTCTCTTGTTTTGAAATAAAAAACATGAACCCCCATAACTTGCCCTCCACCGATTATAGCTATTGATCAAACAGATTAAAAGCCACTCCTTATAGTAGAAACAATTATATAGGTTGAAATTTTGAAAATAATTGAACCACCCTAGGTCACCTAAGAGCCATAGAGCTACCTGGATAGGATTTAACATAGACTTATACACAAAGTAGGTGCAGTAAAAACTATACATTTTTACTAAGGTGCTCAACATTATCAAGAATATACAGCAATAAACAGCAACTATATTTTGGAATTCTATATACAACTACAATGTTTCAATAAGGTGCTTGGCACTATCAAGGAATGATTCTTAAAATGTTTTTAATGACTCTTTCCTCATATTTATTTTCTAAAATCACAACTGAATTGTTTAACAAATTAAACAACAATTAGCTTACCAGTTTAATGCCATATAAGATTGTGAAGTAGAGATGTTGAAACAATAACTGCATCCTGATGTCTCTCTTTTAGGATATGCATGTAGATAGTTTTATCTTTCAGAAACAACTTTTTTTTGTATATTCTGCAACAAACACATAAGAGAAAATGGTATCTTTACATTATATTGAATTGGGTTTGTGAGAGAAACTAAGTCATGAAATATTTATCAATAATATGTTGTAAACAAACTATTTTTAGCTAAATGTTACAAAACATAGATGTCATTAATCTAAAAATCAAACCTTTCTTGCATCCGCATAAACTATAAAAGAATTAAGAGTAAATTCTATAATTGGTCCTTTATAACAGGGGGATTTCCCTATTTAGTCCTCTATTATCAAATATTACCCAAGTAGTCCTTCTTTTATGGGTACCTTTCCACGAATAGTCCTTTTTTTGATCTTCTATCATGTTTGTGTTAATTTGAGGGCTAAAAGTGTAATTTCACAATGATAATATATCTTTTTTGTCATACACAATTCCAAAGGCTGATCCGTTTGCGTCGTTTGTAAATTACAGTCGCTTTTTACGACAATTATAGTCTACAAATGTGATCTTTCGTCAAAATCCTAGCCCACAATCATAGTCATTATTTTTGTGTTATCCACTTAACCAATATCAGAACACGTCACTAGACATAATGTTGACATCAAATTATACTTTTAGCCTTTAAATTAACACCAACACGGAAGAAGATCAAAAAAAGGACCATTTGTGGAAAGGTACCCTTAAAAAAGGACTACGGGGGTAATATTTGATAATAGAGGACTAAATATGGAAACTCCCCTGTTATAAAGAACCAATTATGGAATTATTCAAGAATTAATGTAATAATGAGAATCAAACTACAATCTGCATTTTGGGTTACCATATATGTTTATGATATGCAGAGGATTGTGTTTACATCAAATGATTACATATATTAAAAGATACTCCTCTTAAAAATACATTATCTCACCTCAGTTTGAACCTTCTTCTCAATCTTTGAAATATGAAATAAGCCTTTAGGAATGCTCAAATTCACAAATCATTTAAAGCTACAAAGAAACATTTTAGTTTCTTAGCATTTATCAAATAGGCATATTATCTTCCTAACCTAATACATTTTCTAAGCATTTAACCAATAATAAGATGATTTTATAAATGTTCAGGAGACGACCCTTCTTCTTCCCGTTCGTCAAAGAAGCCAGCCTCACCCATTGTCATTGGAAACCATGAGCATCTGACCCATCATTGTCGTGGCTATAGAAACCTTCCACCAAAAAACAAAAATGTCTAAATACCTAAAATCTCCAGATCATATTATAACTATAAAGAAATTAAAATAGAAAAAACTGAAAGGTTATTAACCGCTTCCTGAATCCGACTGCTTCTTCTCCTTCTCGACTCTGGTTGGGTAAGTTTCTGGACAACGTATGTAGAAAGATCCATTAGCTTCTACCAAGGAACCATCGGCCTTCAATCAATGTGGAAAAGATGAGGGACGTGAGATGAAGACGACTTAAAGGGAAGATGGTATGGAGAAGGCTGAAGAAGCTGAGGTGCTATGGGTTGAAAAATGTCAGCGGTTGAGAAATACAGAGTAATGGATAAAGAAATTAGTGGTAAGTGAGCAGTTAATATGGGAAGTTGCCGGCTGACCTTTCGAGCAAAAGTTTGGGCGGGAATACTTTTCTTGATGTTGTTGTAAATAGGAAGATTATAATAAAAAATTTAATTTTAATTCGATTTTTAATCAAATTCATACTCCGTATTAGATTAGATCCGATCAGGTCAGACCATATCCAATCAAATCAGGTCAGATCAGATTAGATCCAATCAGATCAGATCAGATCCAGTTAGATCAGATCAGACCAAATGAGAACTTCAAAAAATCAGATTAGATCAGGCAAACAAAATGCATCCTCAAAATGTACTCTTTTTTTAACTCTTTTTAAAATTTTCAAGTATAAAACCTTATTTTTGCAATTCAAAAGAAAGCTTTAATTTATTTTAGAGAAAATTATCTAAAACAATCTCACATTTTTGCATTCTTCCATAAATAATTCCAATCTTTCACTATCATGCGTAACAATCTCATATTTTCGCATGTGTGTGAGTTTTGAATTGTCATTACGAAATCTGGCGGTAACATAACAAATTTCTTTTGAAAATGAGGTCGAGTTTGGATAAGATAGTATCACACCCGAACTCAGCCTGAATTTTAAACTTGAAACCCAAAACCGAACTTGACTTTTAAACTCAAAACTTGAATCGACACAAACCTAACTTTTAAACCTGAATTGAAACCCAAACACGCAATTTAACCAATAAACAATTCTAAACTAGGTTTTTAACTAAACAACCGAGTCAAATCCGACTAGAATTTTAACACATTAAATTACTACATTTGCATATACAAAAATGAGCAAATATATTATTTTTTCTGTTTCATAAAATAGATCCTATTTTGACTTTTAAGATACATAAGAAGTATATATTTGTTGTTAACTTTCTAATTTTGTCATTGATGTAATAGGTAAAAGTAAAATGTGATAAATAAATTATTAGTGAAAAATATGATGTGATATGTAGGCTAAGAAAAAGTAGGAGTTAAATTGATTTTTATTAAAAGTGAAAGCATTTTAGGGAAAACAAAAAATAAAAGAGGCAGTGTTATAAGAAACAAAGGGATGTTATAAGAAATAAAAGAGGGAGTGTATTATACGTAGTACTGCATATAGAAAAAATAAAGCAAGTTATACGAAAGATCATGATTAACAAGACATGCGAGGTAAAGAAATGATCCATAAGAGAGTGGCAAGGTGTGAGCAAGAGAAAGATGTGGCTGAGTGTGGAAAAAAACAAGAAGTAGAAAAATGGAAGAGTGTACTCTTTTCCTACTAAAAAAGGCTTTCCGTTTGACATGACACAAAAGTTAAGAAAAGAAAAAAATGTATGATTGAAAATGCTGTAGAGGAGAGGAAAGATTGTGAGTAGGGTTGGACACGGGTCGGGATGGTTTAGGTTTTATAGCATCCCGCGTTTTGTCCCATTTTTTTCAAACGGTTAGGAATAGTTTCGATCACAAGCTTATCCCTCTTTGTCCCTTAATATTCAGAATTAGGACAAAATAGAATGAGTTCACATTGTCCTGCTTTGTCATTATTCGGAATGAGATATAAAAATATACTCGTAAAATACATAAGGGGAGGCAACCCACTTAGAATGTTTTTAAAAAGCAAAAATAATAAGGAAATATGAAAAATGTCACAATACACGTCAAAAGTAATGAGTATAAGTTTCATAAAAACTATGAGCCACAAATTGGGGTGGGTTGGGTTAGAACAACCTAGATTTTTAGGTATTCCAGTCGTAGTACATTTTTTAGAATATTTGAATCTAGATACTTTTGATATCTATTTTGGGAAAAAATAAGAATTGTGATACTTTTTTGTGTTATATCATTACACACACACATGAAAACGAGATGGATCGAGAAAATACTTATGCGTCCTGGTCATGTCTCATTTTAAAACTATTCGGAATAGGTTCGGGACAGAAATTTGTCATCCCTAACAAAATGTGACATTGTAGAGACGAGACCGAGATTCTTACCCACCCCTAATTGTGAGCCACTCAAAATTTTGTCATAAAAGAAAAGATAAGTCATTTTTTGGGACATCCCAAACATGAAATAAGAACCCTTTTTTGAATAGAGGGAGTATTATTTTATATGCAGTACTATGTAAAGGCAGAGATACAATTTTTAGTTTTGAATAATCAGGGTCGGGTAAGATTCGAGTTAGGTCGACTATAATCTTAAACCCGACCCAACCCGATAGTGTCAGATTCAAGTTTGATTTTTTTGGATCAAATTTGAATTGTTGTATTCTCAATTCGTGTTCAAATATTTTAATGTTCGATCAGATTTATAATGATCTAATTCGGGTTGAATTCTATCTTCCTAAGGAGGAGTAATATGTAGGGGCTGTAGGGTCATGCTATATTAACTCCATTTTGATCTCATTACCTCCTGAAATGTTAATGAGACGACAAACCACTCTTATGTGTGTTTAACGTCTGTGGAGGTAATGACATAAAAGTAGGAGTTAATATTCTTTTTTTTCTTTTTTAAAAATTTAAAATGATGAGGAGTTGCATAACAAAAGTATTCCCCCGTCCCCTAAGATCTTCTCATTTTGACTATTTGCAGTTTTTAAGGAGATTTAAAAAAGGTGAAAGTTTACCAAAATATCCTTAATGAAAATGGGTGGGGTGTATTAAATAAGGTAGAAAAAGTGTAATAAATAAAGTAAGTGGTGGTAATTATGATACTTTAAATGTTAACAAAATTAATAAGAAAATCTTTGTAGGACAAATAAAAAGAGTTGGAAAGATTTATGAGGAAGCTAGAGAGTATACTTTATTGACCAACCAACGAGTGAACTCCCACCGTGTTTCCTCCCCAACCCCAACCCCAACCCCACACGGCTGGCGGTTCCATATATACACACGTCCGCACCCTGGCACCCCACTCCCACTTTCCACACTCCTCATTCATCTTTCTATTTCTCTTTCTGCAAAAAAACGCTCTCTGGGTATTTCTTCATCGGCAATGGGTGCTGCTGTAAGTATTCTCTTGCTGTTTTATCTCTACATTATATTCCACTGCTTACGAATTTCATATATAGATATATATTATTGGGTCGGTCTCTTATTCCCCCCTGCCGTTTTTTGACTCCCGATGCTGTGTGCATGCTTCCGCGGCGGCAAACAGAAGAACGCCGGCGGAGAACTGAAGAAACCCGACTCCGGCAAGAAGGGCGGCGCTGATTCCAGGATTTCTGTGGTTCTCAAGGCAGATTTCCACTGCGAGGGCTGCGTTTCAAAAATCGTCAAAGCCATCCGCGCCTGTGACGGTAAATCTCACCCGTCTTCTCCGATCCTCTGTTTCAAATCCCCATCTCCCAATCTCTATGAGCGGTTTCTCATTGTTCTGTTTTCGATTTTGTATAGAGTATGTAAATGTTTGTATTAATAGTATTACTGTTCTGTTTTGTGGGGAACTGAAGGCGTGGAGGATGTGAAAGTTGACGGCGCAACGAGCAAGCTGACCGTTACCGGCAAGGTAGATCCGGCGGCGCTCCGGGAGAAGGTGGAGGCTAAGACTCACAGAAAAGTGACGGTCGTGTCGCCGGAGCCGTCCAACAAGGGCGGCGGCGGCGACAAGGTCAAAGACGGCGGCGAAAAGGATAAGAAGAAGAACAACAACAAGATGAAAGACGGCAAGACGGTTGAAGATTCAAAGGGAGACGATAATGACAAGAAGAAGGAAAAAGATAAACCGGTACTGTGCAGTTTCTACATAAACTGTTTGCCCTAATCTGCAAATTTCAAATTTTTTTTCAAATTCAAATTCAAATTCAAATTCGAATTATCTACTTCGTCGCGTACAACGAAATTCCGCGATTATCGCTGTGAAAGTAACCCTAATCTGCCGCCGGGGAGGAGCGGGGAAAGCCATGTTTCTGTGCAGGCGCACGTTAGCATATCGTCTCCTCCGTGCAATTTATTGCCCTGATTTTTTCCTATTTCCAGAAATTTCAAATCGTTTGTCCAATCCGAAAAATTAAATTCGAAATAATAAAAAGCAAATATGCATTGAAGAAGAAAAGAAAAGTCGACAGTTACGTACTGCTCTGAATCGATTCGCATTCATTAATTGCGTGTCTGCGACGTTACTGTCAATCTTTCAGTCCCCCGCTGCAATTGCAGCGGCGGTCCTCATTTACTGCTGTCCTGAATTCGTCCTTTCTCCGGCAGGTGGCGGTGGTGGCCACGGCGGTGCTCCGGATGAATCTCCATTGCGAAGGCTGCATCCAAAAGATCCAGAGGATCGTCTCCAAAACCAAAGGTGGGATTAATAAATATACTCCGGATTTGTTATTTTATTTTATCGGAGGGAGATATTGATTTCTTTAACGGCGGGCGTTACAGGATGCCAGGAGGTGAAGATGGACAAACAGAAGGAAACGGTGACGGTGACGGGGACGATGGACGTGAAGGCGTTAACGGAGAGTCTGAAGAAGCACCTGAAGAGGGAGGTTGAGGTCGTGGCGCCGCCGAAGAAGGAAGGCGGGGAGAAGAAAGAGAAAGGCGGCGGCGGAGAAAAGGAGAAGGGGAAGGGCGGCGGAAAGAAGGAAGGCGGCGGCGGAGGAGGAGGGGAGAAGAGCAAGGCGGTGGAAGAGGCGAACAAGATGCAGGTGCAAGTCGGGTACCCGTACGTGTACGGGCCGGGTTACGTAGTCGACCCGATTTACTACAATTACCCTCCTGCCCCGCAGATGTTTAGCGATGAAAACCCGAACGCGTGTACTATTATGTAAAAAACAACGATGACACGACGTCGGTTTAATGTAAATAAAGGGGGCTTTTAGTTGGGGATCGAGTTTTCTGTCTACTCTTTTTGTTCGCCGATATTATTATGAACTTTTGTTTTGTTTTGCAAGATGTTGCATTAACTATAGGTTGAGAGTTTAGACATAAAAGTTTAGGCTTTTGTCGTGACAAAAAGATTAAATTGAAGTGAAAATTTCTAGTTTATGTTATCTCCACAAAGTTAATTTTTAGTCACTTTCTTTATATATTTTTGTTATTTATTTAATAAAATAATACTACCTTTGTCCTATTTTATAACGTCTGTTTCGGTTTACGATGTTTGACTGAAATTATTTTCAAATCATTTTATATGACAAATGGTATAGAATTAAAAAATAAAAATTACATATTAAAAAACTACATCAAAAGATCTACAAAACTAGTAGTGACAATAATATTTTATTTTATCAAATTGCTAACGAAAATAGAGAAAGAAAGTGAATGAAGTTTGACCCTGTGAATAGTAAACATGCATTATAATTTGGGATGAAGGGAGTATATTCTAGTCACTCTTTGTTTGAATATATTTTTATATAGTTTTTAAATATGTAAATTTTATTTTTTAATTGTGCGCTAATTTTTAAATAAGTTGCGTTATAAATAATTTTAGTCTAATTTCAGAAATAATAACAGACGATTTAAATTATGACAAGGGGAGTTTATATATACATCCCTATATTTGATTAAAATGTAGTGAAAACCATAAAAAATTGAATGAGAACTAAGCTTTGTGACCATATTTTTGAAATGAAGTGTTCCCTTTGGTTTGATGGAAGGGAAGCAAAAGGAAAAAAAAAGATAGAAGATTTTTTAAAAATTGAATGCATTGGGCTGCTTTTGAATTTACACCTGACCAATATCATACTCCTTCCGTCTTAAAATATTTGTCACACTTAAACGGAATATCCTAAATAGGACTAAAACATAGAGAAAAGTACCAAAATAGGACTTTCATGTTTTTTTTCTGGAATAGGACTTTGCATTGTGGTAATGTGGCAGTGTACATGTGCAAATTACGATACTTTCTTGGTAATGTATATGACCATGTTTGGTAATGTAAGTCCTATTTCGAGAATAAAAACATGAAAGTCCTATTTTGGTATATCTTCAATATTTTAGTCCTACTTTGGTCTTTCTCCCTTTTTTAAATGGTCGGGTATTATAATAAGACATCGTCCTTTGATGTTAGAAGAACCAAATTTCTTTTAGAAAAATGCTAGGGGTACTTCAAAGGTGTACCCCATTTGTCCCTCACCCCCTCTATCATCACAAAAAAGGCAAGAAAATAAAAAAAAATTAAACAAATAAAAAAAATTATATGGTGGAGAAATGGGTGGGAGACAAATGGGATACACCATTTGGTGTACCTCTATTATTCCTCTTTCTTTTATGAATGTTTTGATCTCCATCCTCACTTCCTTTGCATCTTATCCCTTCCAATCAAACATATCCCAAGTTTGGGCACGATTTGACATACAATATTTAAAAAAGGAAAACAAATCGAAATATTTACAATAATCATAGTTTTAAAAATTGGATCGGACCGGCCAGTTCGGAGTGTGAACCGGCGAACCGGTGGTCCAACCGGTCCGGTCCGGCCCATTGGACCGTAATATATTCCAACTCCTTGCAGTTTCTTTTAATATTCCAACTCCTTGCAGTTTCTTTTAATATTCAGCTTTAGAGTTCTAATCGAAAATAGTATGTCCTAATTGTGAGAGACGTGATTGATATTTGAGTTAGAAGAAGAATATGTAATTTATATTTTATGAAAACTAAAAAAAGTAATTTTTTTTCAAATAATCACTTTAAAAATCTATTTAGATATTACACAATTTTATTGTGCACATAAGGTGATGGGTGAAATGTTTTTATAAAAAGAGAGCATTTTTAGGAGTAATATTGTAATTAATTAATTTTTGGATCGGGGTATTCCTGTAAAATCAAAAATTTGTCGGAGTATTGTTGTAAAGCTTTTCAAAACAAGTGTACTCTATTTTGTTTCAAAATAATTTTTTCATTTTTATTTTTTTTTAAAGTTGATTTTCAATTTTCTAAGGAAAGCTTCAAACCAAGTTGCATAAAAAAATTCTGTTGACATAAAAATATGGGCACATGATAATCATTTTGGGATAGACCAAAATGTGATCCAAAAAAACTGTGGCAAACATGGTAATAGTCCGTTTTGGGTATGCCGTATGCAGCATGCACAAACTTAAAAGTCAAATAATAATGTTGCAATATGGACTTCAAAGTTTGAAAGTAATTGAATGAGTCTCATTTACTTGGTTACATTTTAAAGGAACATTAGAATATTTTCTAATGAAAAATATTAAAATAAAGATAAAATATTGAAAATATATCAAAATAAGAGTTACATGTTATTACTATCGGAATAGGAGTTAAAACCCATTTACATTAACAATTATGACCATATACATTATCAAAAGATATAGTAAAGTGCACGTGTCCATTGACACGTTATTACACTATCAACTTCTATTTAGGGAATAAAAATATGGTTAAACTTCACTATTAGTTCTTCAACATTATTTGTTGTGTACGATTGTTCCTTTAAGTTTCAAAATTTCATAAATAGTCTTTCAACTTTATGAGTTATGCACGTCCTTCAAGTTTTAAAAGTCCATAAGTAGTCCTTCAAGTACACGTCGGTCCTCCAGATGATGTCCTTTTGACGATAAACGTCAAAAGCTAAATGCATTACTGGTTCCATATAATACAGAGAAGTCTTACCCAATGGAATTTACTCGTATTATATAGAATTAGTATTCCATTTAGGTTTTAATGTTACTGTCAAAAGGACCGCATCTGGAGGACTGACGTGTACTTGAAAGACTATTTATGAACTTTTGAAACTTGAAAGACCAATCATGCACAACTCATAAAGTCGAAGAACTATTCATGAACTTTTGAAATTTGAAGGATTAGTCGTGCACAACTTATAAAGTTGAAAGACTAATAGTGGATTTTAGCCTAAAAACATGAAATTCCTATTTTGACACTTTCTCTATGTTTTAGTCATAGTTAGGATGATTTCTTTATTTTCTAAAAGAATTTACTTGGTTACTTGATTATTTTCTTAATTTTGTGATTAAACGAAAAGTAAATATATATGGAAACACAGAATATATATATATATATGAAAATATATGTTTAAAATTCAAATGAGGAAGTACATTGGATTGACCAACTTTTTAATGAAAAGAGTAAATGAAAATTTAATTTTTAAGACATCTCCAAAAAATCCAAAAATAAAGGGACAAAGGTAATTGAAAGGAGTGCTATGGACAATTATGCAGATGCAGTAGGAATCAAACCAACTACACGGAGACAGAGAAATTGATGATGGAAATCTACCATATTCCGACTTTGACTAGTCAATATTCTAATCATGCTCCCAACTCCAAGTCGCTTGCTCCTATTCTTCAAATCATGATTCGCCCCATATACTCATCCCGTCATCCCCATGATTTGCTCCTATTGCTCCTATTCTTTGTTTGGATAAAAAGAGAAAATGAATGAAAAGAAAATAGATGAAAAAAAATAGAGAGAAAAGAAAATAAAGAGAAAATGGGAAGAAGATTATTATTGTTTGGATGAGTGAAAAATGAAATAAAATATAAAAGAAAAAAAATGTGATAAAGCAAAAATACATTTTTATGATTATTTATGCTAATGAAACAAAGAAGAAATAAGAATAAAATTGCCATTTCAATAATTTTCTCTCCTTCAAGTTTTCTGGCCATATGAGGAGAGAAAATATTTCTTACCTCTCTTCTCTCCCCTTCCCATTTTCTCTCTTAAACAAACACTTAATTTTGCTTTGGAAAGTGTGCTTTCTCTCTTATTTTCTTTCTTTCCCAATTCCATCTATCCAAACACAGGGTAAATTCTCGGTTATTGCTCTTGAGTTCTTGATTCTTTTGTTTTGATGGATAAGTTGATAAAATAAAATATTATAATCATATTTTTTAAGAAATTTTTTGACATTTTTTAAAATATTTAATTTTGATTGTTTGTTTATATTTTTTTTATTTTTATATCAATTCGTAATTGAAATAATTTTGAACAAGGGCATGTTGTTCGATATAGGAAATTAGTTTATGAACGGAAGGAGTATAAGTAAGCGTAACTTAGCCAGTGGAACGCCCACCCCGGGCGCCCCCACACCCCGATTCGACATTATTGCGGGGGAGTCGTAAGTCATGGTATAATATCAGTCTCTTCCTTAGAGTCTCAACTTATTTTCCGAGTTTGGGAGTTGGGGTGTAACCTTTTTTTATAGTACACATAGTTAATTATTATTTATGTGGTAAAAATGAGTTTTTAAAAATAAATATCATAATTATGTAATCAAATTGGGATCTCTACCGAGCTCTCTTCAAAATATTGATAGTTTCTATCCCCCGCCACGTGGGTAAACCCCGACATAGGTCTCACCAATGTTAGACCTTGTGTGGAAATTATTAGATGATAATAATAATAGTACTACTAATGGTAGTACTCTCTCCGTCCCCAAAAAAATCTTCCAACTGGATTTGTCACAAAGTTTAAGAAGAGTGAAATTGTTTGGTTGAAATCAATGCATGGCTAAAGAAAGGTGTTGGGCCATACAATTTTTTCCAGAAGTGAACACGGGAGTTTTTGGGATGTTCTGAAGAAAAAATAAGGAGTCTTATTTTGGAACATAGGGAGTATTATTTATGATAGTATCTGCTTAGAGAAAAAACTAAAGTAAGACTAAAACATTAAAAATATACTAAAATAAAAGTAACATATTTTTATTCTCGAAATAAAAGTTAGAATACATTTACATTACCAATTATCACCATAAACATTACCAAAAACTATAGCAAAATGCACATGTACAATGAAATATTATCACAATGCGAACTCTTATTTAGAGAATAAAAATATGGAACTTCTATATACTCCGTAATTTGGTACTTTCTATATATTTTACTCCTATTTAAGGTAAATTCTTATTTGCTTATTAGTCAGCTTCTATTATTTCATTGATTCTACTTGTTCTACGAATGCTACATGTGTGTGTGTGTTTGTGTGTGTGTGTCTGTGTGTCTGTGTGTGTGTTCAAAAACTAAAAGGCGCCACAAAAACTATGGGGTAAGGTTCAG